TATTTGTAGGAGAAAAAATGAGGTTTTAGGAAAATGTCTTGCGCTTGCTTAGATGCTATGTTACCTTTAGTGAGATCACACTGAAATACAAGAAACAATACAAGCGTGTCTTCAACTATAGTAGTAAAGAAAAAGGCACTTTTCACTGCCTGTGGTAGTTAAGAAAAAGCACACATAGTTAATTGTGGGGACCATAAGTATAAAAGTGTGTATCCATGCTTTTGCAAACAGCACACGTGAATGCCATGGATTTGTGAATGGGAGTATTCTTTGAAGTATGATTATACTACAAGTTTTTGCTTATTGTCACAGCGTGGACAGCCTTTTGTCTCTTATGACTGGTTCTGATTTCAATGTAAAGACAGGATTATACTCTTTGAAAAGAAACATTCAAAGGAAGCCCAGCCTGGGGATGGGAAAATACAAGCTGGGGATGGAAATACCAATATGAAATTATTTAACTGGGAGGTTAAACCACGCGATTGTAATGATTCCTTCTACTTGTAAAAATTACTGGAGCCAGTACTTCAAGTAACATCAAGGGATCAATTTAACTCCTTAGAAATTAAATTTTACAAGTAAACTACTGTGTTTTAATTAAACCTTAATCGAATCAATGTATTTTAGAACTGTTTACTTAAGCTGGCTCAACTTTTCTCCAGTAAACTGTATGTGTGCCAGGGTCACTTTTGTGTAGCTCTTAAAGTCATTAAATCGTGTTGATGTTGTGTCATTGGAAATGCACTCTTTGAAGTACCTTGCAGACTTGCTGCTTGTCTCAGCACTTGGAGGACTTAGGAGCAGGTTCTTTAGATCTTTTGAGTTCAGCTTTGTAAGGTGGAAATGTTGGTTGAAATTAAGACAATTTTGAGTTTGCAGTCAATGAGACTGCAAAAAACAGAATATTGATTACACTTAAAATACTTTTTTCCCCTCTAAAATTTTAGGGAAAATGCTAATGCAAAACAAATGCAGACATTTTCGTAATAGTTATTGAAACAGTATAAACCATTGCCTTGTAACTTTACTATATCATTACCGACAGTTGTTAAATAACTTAATTTTTTTTTTTTTACATTTCCCCAGTATCAGTTCCTATTATTTTTAATACTTTATTTGTCATATATAGGATTTCTCTTCAGAACCATTGAATGAAGTGTCTGAATACTTGCTCGGAAAGAATTTTTGTTTAGCTACAATGACTTTAACAATCTCTTTTGTGTTTATGACGTTGTTCACACATCTACTTTCTCATGGTTTTTAATATCTGACCTTGATTCCTTGAATACTTAAGTGTATCTCTGTAGAAGTCTTTTATTTGATTAACATTACCGCTACCCTGGCTTGGAAGCTGGAGAGCCAGAGATAAATTTGCAGCTGTGTTTGATGATCAGCCCTGCAAGCTTTCTTTGCTCCTGTATCTGCTAAATTCAAGTTAGCTGCCTGGCAGTGGGAACATCTTGTACAAAGCAAAACAGCTTACATATGCAGTTGCCAGTAATATTTCAATTACCTCGACTGCAAGTGGGCTTGCGGTGCTTTGCATTTGATTTACAGTGCACTTCATTTGGATGAGTTCTTTAATTGGAATTAATGGGTTTTGGCCTTGGGCGCTTCTGTCAGGAAATTGATTATGTGGTTTCTGCTTACATTTTGGGGTGGTTTTTTTAGTAGGATCTGTGTCTCAGAGCTTGAAGAATTTTATTTAATATCTTATTGATGCCCTCATCTAGCTTTGCTCTTCAAAATAGAGATACTTGCTTCAGAAGTAAAACTGATAATGTTGCCTAATTGGTCATTTTAGAAGTAGAGTTTAAGTTTGAAATGTTCATAACTTTGCCGTGTTATATCCTCAAATTAACGGGACAGGACTAGGCCGTTTTCGATTTTGTAAATATCATTTGCTTTTACTGTTGCATAGAATCATAGAATGGTTAGGGTTGGAAGAGACCTCAAAGATCATCTAGTTCCAACCCCCCTGCCATGGGCAGAGAAATCCTCCACTACACCAGGTTGCCCAAAGCCTTATCCAACCTGGTCTTGAACGCTTCCAGGGATGGGGCATCCACAGCTTCTCTGGGCAACCTGTTCCACTGCCTCACCACCCTCAATGTTCAATGCATTCACAAAGATGACTGGTTACTTTGCGCTGCGCTTAAGAAGGCTTGGCTGCCTCTGTGTGTTGGAGGTGGGGAGGGTTTGGTTTTTCTCTTGTGCTTTTCTTTCTGCTTCTGACTAGTATAGCTTGCTGGAAGTCTGCTGAATCATTGATGTCATTGTGATACGATTTCTGTGGAAATTTAAAAAAACACATGAGGCAGTCAGATTCAACTGAATGAATATCAATAACTTAAAATAATTACATACCATAATGCTAAGAATAATTTGTAGCCCATTAAAATCTGTGGGGATTTTTCCACTGGTCCAATTGGCCTTTAAAACAAATTCCTATTGTTGTAAAGAACTTTTAATTAAAATAGGTGAGGACAAAAGTTCTCTGATTTGATTATATGAAAATGTGCAAGTAATAGTCTAGTGGTTTGTATATTGCAAACATATGTAATAAAAAGCATGTTTGGAGATAGCCATCTTCAGTTTGCCACTAGCTCACTAATAAAGGTAAATTCTAGACACAGAAAATATGAGGTGAATCCAAGCATATCAATCTAAGACATAGTGTCTTCAACCTGCCATAAATGGCTATTCTTTTATGAGTGTATTCTACTTTGGACAAACGTGTATTCAGGACTGGTGTTGCCTGCTTTTGGTTTTAGTAATTAATTTAGTAATTAATTAGTAATTAATTAATCAGTAATTTAGTAATTAACCAGTTAAACATATTTATTTTTCAGTATTTTAACAATGGCAGTGGATTTTCAAAGAGAAAGTGCAATTTATGTTGTGTCATAGCAAATAAAAGTAAATACTGTGAGATAGAGGATGATGATGAGAGCTCTTGTGCTAGCTGCTATAAAAGATCTGATGGGTGTAGTTTCTGGATGCATATCGCTACTAGGTCAAAATGTAGATAATTTTGAACACCACGGTATTCTTCTATCCCCATAGTGTGGAGTATCCCTCTACAGCAAGGGATGCCTGTGCCAGAACCAAGGGCCTTTCAAATTATTTTGTGCTGCCTTGGGGTTTTTACCCAACGATACAGGGCTAGAACAGAAATACAGATGTCTCTTCTTGTTATTATAATTATAGATGGTGTTTTGGAAATGTTTATCTGCTGTAAATCAGATTTTTCAGAGGCTAATCATCATTACTCTAGCTTAGACACCAGGAGACAAAGAGGAGAGGTATTTATTGCAGCTTTTAACAAAAGAAAAGGCACGCAAATGCTGAGCACTTCAGATTTAAAAAAAAAATATTTGGTTGAAACTCCATAATTGACAGTGACTGCATTTTGGTGAGTAGCTGTAATGGATGAAACCAAGTTCATCTTCCTTGCCATTACCTTTTAGCTTGATCTGGCTTATTCCAGATGCAGTTTTTCTAGTTCTGGACTTCTCCTCCCCAGTCTGCTAGTTATGCCAAATCATGCATTGCCCTTGTGACATGACGAACTCTCTACTGAGAGTTTGTAACATAAGCAAGATTCCCATTTGAAGTAAAGAGGCAAAAAACTAGTAAAAGCATTATTGGGTTAACAGATAAATTAACTAGTTTAAAGGATTCATACCAAATGGAACTTCCAGATAAAAGGTCAGAGATAATTTACGCATTTAGGCAAGAACCTGCACACAGACACACACACATACATATCAACTCTTTCTTTTACAAACCTCTTGTTAGTTGTGTAAGCACAGCCTCTCAAAAGAACCTGTATATTGGTCCATTTTAAAATAGACTATATAAGTCTGGAGTTTACCTTCCTAAAGTCCTGATTAGTTGTTCAAAGAACAAAAAAATTTTCGTAAAGATTTTTAACATTTTCGTAGTTGTCTTCTGTGACTTGGTATAGATTTCAGGTGAAACTAATCTCTTCAGCATGTATACTTCATAAGAATTTTTAAATACTGAAAAAATCTAGTTCATTTCACTACTGAAAACTAAATTCGCCTGACAGCATTCTGGTTTTAAAGGCAGGTTGTCATTCCAGTACATGGAAACAAATGAATAATGTTGTGTCATTGCTCTACTTAAACTCTTTACTGGGAGGGAATCTTACATCCTCAGGGCTTTCACTGTATCAGACATCTTTGAGTGGGCCTCCTACTCAAAGGATATTATCTCAGAAGTCGCTGCTATTCTTCCTTCCAGATATATTCCATTATGTGTTGCCAATAACAATGCCTTGTCACTCTGTGGGAAGTGGAATTAAGTAATGTGTATTCAAGTTGCTGCAGGGTAGATGATGCAGGAAAAGTATTTCAGCTACCTTAAAAGAATACGTTCACTTAATGGCTAAAAATAGGATGCTTCTTTTTAATGCTTAGGTTTTTACAAATGAATGTTAGAATGCCAGTAGTAGCCCAGTGGATGAAGCCGTTTCTGTTGGGGGTGGATTCTTTTCTTTAAGAATGCTGCTGGTGCAGTGCAACTCTTGAAAGCAGTATGGTTGCATTATATTCTTCTCTGTAACTCACTGAGCTGAAAGTAGGGTAAGACGTTTGCATCCTGGACTACTCAACATATATGTCTTCACCCCTTGGTCACTTATTTTAACCCAAGCCAGTCTGTTGCAAATAAAACTAGTAGCTTTCCTGGATGTTCATATTGAAATTATGATTTTTTTTATATTACGAAATCAGTGTGTGATAGGTATTCACTTAGCATCTTCATCAGAAACTTGGCAAGTGAATGAACTTGTCACTCCTAAAGACCCGTGCTACAGAGGGGCTGTCCAGAGATTTCTTTCTGAAGTAGAGTATTTAAATGCAAGGCTAATTGAAATATGTTCATAATGGTTAAATCACAATTGATAAGTAGCCAAAATACTATGCCCTGTATCTCTGAAATCTAATTAATTGCTTATATTTCTTGTTTTTCAGATTGTTTGAAGGACGGTCACCAAGGAAGCCTGAGAAACTTAAGACCCTTTTCTGCTATTTTAGGAGAGTCACAGAAAAAAGTATATCCTTTATTCTTTTTTTGAACTACAAAGCAGAACATGAAAAATTTAATCCCATTAAATTTAGAAATGGCTATGCAGCATTATGATGGAAGTGTGTAACAAAAGCCAGCTTGCTAAGTACACTGATATTCATATTAATGTCACTTCTTCTCGTATAGATGATGCATGCAATTAAATTTTTTGCTTGGAGCTTATTCTGTCATGTGGTTTGTTTGGGTTTTTTTTACTGAAATATATGTCTGAGGGGATGTGTGAAATAGTGATATATTTTCACCTCCCTTTGTATATTTATATGCATATATAAATTGTGTGTGTATATAAATGTGTCTGTATAAACATACATATGTATAATTGTTGTAATATATGCAACTACTCGCTGCACCATGTCAGAGCAAGAATGCAGAGGGACCTTAGCACCATACGTAGTCATTAAAATCACAGGCTTAAAGAGTCTGACTCAATACTTTCTTGCAGTATGCATGTTTAGTCCTTTGACAATGTTTGTAGTTCTGAGGGATTTTCCCCTACTTGTGTTGATGTTTCAGATTTCTCCCTTCTATTCTTCTAAAGCAAACTTGTGTGAAGTTTGCAGGGTTCAAATAAAACAAGTGATAGCAAGACTTGAGAATAATCCCAACTCTTCTAGAAGTTAGTGTGATATTTTCCTAAGTGTGTGTAGTCAGATCTTCTGTTTTTACTGTGAATTTGAACATCTGCATAAGCTTTCAAGAATAGATTTATTTTGTGAGAACTGTATCAGAGCTTATATATTGTATTTTGTGGGAGAAAGATTTTACTGTAGTAGCATGCATCACATCTGCAGCAATATCCTTATAGTATTTTTTTACAAGAATTTTTTCTTTACATGCCAGTATTTACATGCCAGTTAGCTTCATATTCTTTCAGAAGGGTTTGTTTTAAAAGAAAGACAGCTTTAAGCTATTGCAAATAAAAATCCCTTTACTTGGTTCAGTCCATCTTCAGCTCATCATTTTAATTCACCACAAATTAAATGCAGCTACATCCTGTTTCAGATATCAAACTTTGAGCGATGTCAATAGAACTAAATCTCTGAGATAAAAAGTAAATTGTGATCTATGTGTGGGACTGAGAAGAGATATAGTGTACTAGGGGTTTTTTATACTTGAGTAATTTTTCATGCAAACCAAACCCTAAATTTATGCAGCTGTCCCTGACTGCCTGTGCATATGAAATCTGTTGGGAACATGCTTTATGAAACGACTGTATTAGATTTCTTAGTGTTACAACTTTAAATATTGTTTAATGAGATTCTTGAATGCTCTCTTTTGAATTACGAATTCCTATCATACCTTTAGAAGACCCCATTTCTTGTTCTTTTTGTCTAAGGAATTAGTAAGACTGAAGTAACCTAGCTCTATAAATTACTGTAGTAATTTTGCAACTCTTTTTATTGTAAATGGTAGTTGAATTCCTTGTGAAAGAACATAGTGGTGACTATATCAGCTGAAGGCTCTGTCCTTAAAAGGTGAACGCTTAATTTGTAAAATATCACCGCTGATACCAGAGTTCCCTTGTGAAAAAGTACTTGATTACTTGAAAGGTGTATGCTTTTTTTTTTAAGAGCAAGCAATGCTTTTTTTCACCTAAATCTCTATAAATTTGAAGAAAAGCATAGGATTATTTAATGTTTTTGGAAGGATATGTTTGTGTTTTACATACTGTTTTGAAAGTTTTTCACAAGCCAGTGCAGTGAACTCACTGGAACAAAGAAGTAAGTCTCAAATGAAGTTTTTATTAGGATGACAGACATCACCTAGCAAAAGATTGATAGTTTCTGTTGCAAAACTGAACTTTTTTGAGTAAAGTAAGGAGAGAAGATGATAATGCATCCTTCCTGCAATGAGCAATGGCTCCTCTTTTTCTCTTGAGGGCAGGAGTCTTTTCCCAGTTGCAGTACAGTGAATTTCACTAATATCCTGGCAGGGCTGAGAACAGTTTGATTTGGAATTTGGCAGGATTCAAAGCTGTTCCTGAGGAAAGTTAAGCTCTTGTGTTTCTGCCAAGAATGATGTTTGTAATTTTAAAAGCCTTACCACTTAAAATAATCTAAGGACTAAAGCTCCCACAGTTAATACGTTTTCCTCTGGGGTTGGTTTGCCTGTAGAACCTACGGGATTGGTGACGTTTACAAGGCAGTGTCTCCAGGAGTTTCCAGACTGGGAAAGGTAAGTCAAACATCCCCATAATCTAAGAAATTTCTTAAATTGGTGATAGCTGAACACCATTCATATGGAATTGATTCAGACGTGGAAGTACTATGAAAAACAATGTTTGGTATGGATTGTTATGGAGAGAAGTACAGAAGGAGGAGGGTAAACTGCCACAAGTAGTTTGAGCACCCTGAGTTTTCAAATATGTTTATTTGCCTATGAAGCTAACAAGCCTTAAGAGAATTTTTAAAGCAGTAGCACATCTTT